GCACTAAACTTGGTAAAAGGACACAGCTTTGCTACCTTGCTCTCTGCCCCTCATGCCTCAGGATATCATAAATTTTTTATACCAATAAAACAGAATTTTTGATGAGCTGCTATTTTGCATTAAAGCAACTTTACATGCAAAGATTGCATAATAGGAAGCAAAATTGAATTTTGCCTCAGAACAAGTTCTTATTATTAATTTAAGTGTTTTTTATATATTTTAGCAGCAGCTTATCATTCTATATATTTAATTTCTTTCAAGTGAGAACACTTAGCATTGGTTTCCTTGTCTAAACAAATCTTTTAAGAGAACACATGTATAAAGTGGAAACGCAGTGTTTTGAATCTGTGCCTTAAGACAAACAGCGAAACTTTAAAATGGGCAATAAAAAAACTAGGAGGACAGAGGCCAACTATCTCTAAAACCTACCAGCAGGCTCCCTAGGACAGAAAACCTGTCACTTTCTCCATGTGGAATAATTTTTCCCCTTTTTACTGCAGTGTTTGTTCAAATCATATTGTGGCAAAACTGTAAATACAACAAGCCCCCATTGGATTGGTTCTGTTTAAGGCAAAGGATTTGCAGTTCCTTAGGTCTCAAGTACAGCACAGTCCATTTCTAACACTTCCACACACCATGATGCACAGGACCAGCTCACAAATATAAATTGCCTCTTCCCTGTCCTGGATGCATTAGCAAGAAAACGTTTTTCAGCACTTCCTGCTGCATTCAGAATTTGCTACTGAAAGCCACCTTTTAAAAATCAAGAAAAGGCAGAACCTGTCAGGTTTTTTAACCCCCCTCTTCTTCTTCTTCTTGCATGAAACAGAAGTCCAGTGTGGGATCCTACCAGACCACTGCATGCAGTATTACTGAACACACCATGCAGGATTATGCAATGAGCTATTTACAGTGTGTGTGTGTGTGTACCCGCACAACTTCAGATTTAATGCAACTGTAATGGGGTGAAAACTCATTATTTAAAGGGGGGGGGGGGGGGAAGGGAGAAAAAGAAAGAAAGAAAAAGATAAAAAAAAGATAATGAGAGAGAAATGGGGAAAAAAGGAAGAGAGGAAGAGAAAGGGAGAAAGAGAGAGCGATAAAGAGAGTGAAAGAGAGAGAAAAAAGAGGAGAGAAAAAAGAGAAAATAGGAAGAAAGGAAGAGAAGAATGGAAGAGAGGGAGAGCGAAAGGAAAGAAAGAGAGAGAGAGAGAAAGAGAGAGAGAGAGAAAGAAAGAGAGAGAAAGAAAGAGAGAGAGAAAGAAAGAGAGAAAGAAAGAAAGAAAGAAAAGAAACTGAAACTTGTCCAAATAAAAATTAAAAAAAAAAAAAATAAAGTACAAAAGGGACCCCGGGAGCCGAGGCAGGGGAGGATGCTGGCAGCGGGGCACTCGGCAGCTCCGCGGCCGGCGGAACGCAGCGGGCTCCCCGCGGAACCTGCGCACGGCGGTGCGCGGCAGCGGAGCCGGAGAGGGCTCCCCGAGCGCTGGGGATGTTTTAGCTGTCCTCCCAGAAACCCGACACCCCCAGCCCCGAGGAGCTTCCCTGACCTTGGTCTGTCAATCACCGGCACCGAGCAGCCTGCTAGAGCCAGGCGGGCACTGCGCCAGCCCGAGGGAGAATGGGGAAGGGGGCGGGGGGGAGGAAAAAAGAATTAAACCCTAAACCAGCTGGGAACGGTTATCTCGCAAGCCCTGGCTCATCCTTATAACACATCTCGCCTGCCCACCTCAATACGGAGCAACACATCTGCCGGCCGGCAGCAGCGCTCAGCATCTCTGGAAAGTCTTAGAGTGATGTTTCTATCTTTAGTTCAAAACGTCTTTTTAGTCTTAGATGTCTCTGTTTTGGAATTAAAGACAATCAGCTTTATACACTCTCCTGGAGGGGAGGAGGGAAGGGAATATTGAGAGGAGTCTATTAAACGGTTGGCAGCGGTAGTCTGTGAGCTCTGTGTCAGTAAATGGGGGGGGAGAGGGGGGGCTGTTGCCAATTGTGTTTCCTGTCTGAGTGTCTCGTTCAGTTCTGGGAGCAGCCGTAGCCGGTCGTCACCTCTGTCCCTGCGGGGGGTGCGGACCTCGCTCTGGCTGTTAACAACAGCTCTTACAAAACTGCGAAATCAAAAAAATAATATGATTTTCGCTGAAGGTAATCGTCCTCCTGTTCTACACGAGATCACATAGTGAACCGCAGTCCGGCAGCCAAATTTAGCGGGACAAACCTTGGGCCCTTCCCAATCATCTGCGGGGCGCGGGGCAGCTGCCGGCCCCCGCCGGGCTGCTCTCGGGAGTCTCCCATCGCCGCAAAGGCCCCGTCGCTTCTGCTCCCAGAGCATCCCAGAGCCCCCGAACCCCTGCTCCGGCCGGGCGTGCACGGGCCCGTCCGAGTCCCGGTCCCGGTCCCAGTCCGGGTCCGGTCCTGTCTCTCTGCCACCCCGGCCCCATCCTCTCCAAGGTTTCGAAGCGAGACTCGGGGTGAGGGCCTTTGCACCGGCTTTTGGGGAGAAAATTTGCAGCATCCTCGCTGCGGATAGCGCTGGGTCGCCCGCCCGGTTCCTGGAGCGGGAGGTGGGCAGCGCTCGGTCCCTCCGAGCCGGGCAGCAGCCGCCGCCTCCGGCCTCCTCCGAGCCCGGGGACTCCCGGGCCGGCTGCAGCTGCAACAGCTCCGGGAGCGGAGCTGGACCCCGGCCCCGGCCAGGGGTGCGTGGGGACAAGTGGCGCAAAGGACGGGCAGAGGAGCCACCGGCCAAGCAGCACGCCCGGAGCGGGGGGAGAAGAGGGGCCTGGGCAAGATGCACGCTCTGTCCCCCGCTGCTGACAGCAACTTCTCCGCGCTCCGGGGCAAGCGGGGAGCCCCGGGCGGGCAGCCCCGAGCTGACCCTCGCAGCCCCCGCTGCCGGGAGAGCACCCCGCGGATAGGCCGGTGCCGGGAGGGAAAAGAGGGGAAAGAGTTTTCCCTCGGCATCAAGAAGCTCCTCTCCGTGGTGTCCCCTTCTAGTGTCAGCCCTTCGCCGGTCGGTGATGAACGGCGAGAGATCAAAGTCGATACCCGCGGATGGCAATAGGCGAGCGGAGCCGAGCGGAGGGGAGGGGTCCCCCCTGGCTGCCGGGCTCTCCCGGGGGTGCCGGCAGCGGGGCACAGGCGGGCGCTGCCCGCCCCGGTACCTGCGGGGCTGCCAGACCCCGGGGCCGCTGCCGCTGTCCTCAGGGCAGAGCCTGCCCAGCCGCAGGCCGGGCGAGAACAAGTGCGGGTGGGTTTTGGCCCCTCGGTGTGCCAAAGCCCCCTCGAGCCGCCTGTGCGGACAGAGGAGCCGGCCCGACCCCGGCCGAGAGAGAGGGAGGGACCGGCTGCCCGGAGCCCGCTCCCCGCAGCGCCCGCGGGGCCGAGCCCGGCCGGTCCCGGTCCCACCGCCTCGGGCTGTGCCCCGGTGGGACTCGGTTGCGTTTTTCTTTTCTTTTAAAAGGAATAAATTAAAGCCCAGGAGCGGTGCCGGGCCAGAAGAGCCCCGGCCGCCCGGGCCGTGCCGCGGGGCTGCCCCGCCGCTGACACCGTTCTGTGGTGGGAATCTGCAGGGCTTTTCTAAGGCCTGTTTTTCCTACTTTTTTTCGTTGTTGTTGTTGTTCAATTAGCCCTAGTGATTTATTCAATGCATGCATGAGGGGACATTAATATGCGGTGGCAGTTCCCACAAACAATATTCCTCTCAGGCTTTCTGCAGCCATAGCATTTACTGGCAAGGGGGGAGGCTATACAGGGAAAGCCAGGCTCTCCCAGCCTTTTCCTCTGCAAACTCCTGTCCCCCCTTGGCAGGGCAGCAGGCTACGAGCTTGTTCTCCGGGCCTGACTCATGTAGCCGGGGGGCTGGGACGGGCCCCGGCCCCTTCCAAGCTCCCCCAGCTCAGTGGCTGGCCCAGCTGGCTCTGACACGGCAGGGATGTGGATGGGATTTAAGAGGGGGGGTTTGTTTTAAGTTGCTGCATTTGCTTTTAAATTATTTTTTTTCCACATTCTGTCCTTAACCTGTTTGTTCTTCAAAGACGCTTTATGCCATCCCTGCAAAGAACAGCTCGCTGCTGCTGGGACGAGGGGCAGGGCAGAGAGAACCTATTTTTTTTCTGTGATACCTTTTCCTGTGATTTTTTTTTGTGTGATACCTTGGATTTTGTTTTCAGGAGAGATTTAAAGTTCAACACCGCTTTCATACTTTGAGAGCAGCAGTGCTCAGACACGCTGCGATCCGACTCGGAGAGTCCCTTTCCCACACCCAGGCAAGGACTGGGGGCAATTTTTAACCTCCTTCTCCTTCAACTTAGGGAGCTGTGAGGTTATTGCAGTGAGAGGAGCTGAGGGATGGCGGTGGAGTTGCGAGGTGCTGAGCGCTGGGGGTGGCGGGAAGAGACCTGTCCCCTTCTCCACATGCATTTAACTAGTCTTCGGGGGGAGGAAAAATAAAAAAAAAACAACCCCAAAACGGAATAAATACAGCGTGCAGATGGAGAGAAGGAAAGTGAATGGGCAACCCGGATCCCAAAGTAGCTGGGGAAAGAATAGACTTGTCCAAGTCCTCTCATTTTCTAATGGGGGAAAAAAAAAAAAATTAGGAAAGAAAGTGCCTGCCGCCGGCGCTCCCCGCCGTCCCTGCCCGGGGTGGCTGGGCCGGGCGGTCCCGCTCCCGGCGGGCAGCGGAGCCCCGGGCAGACACCCCGGCACAGCCGGCCCGGCGCGGGGCTCCGGCCGCTCCGCTCGGCCCGCAGGGGTTGGGGGGATGCTCCCCCTGCCAAGGGCGAGCTCCCACCCAAGCAGAGGAGGGGGAAGGCTGAGCGCTCCTGCCCTGCGAGCAGCAGCGTTCCCGAGGGGGCAAAGCAGCCCCGCGCCCCCCCGGGCCGCAGCCCCCCACAAGCCCTGCACAGGGTGGGGACAGGGACGGGGCCACAACTTTTCCTCTTTTTTTTTTTTTTTTCGGAACACGAGACGTCAGAGAAGCAGGTCCCTCCAAGAAATGCCATTTCAATGATTTTAATAAGCAAAATAGGAAACAATTTTAATAACCAAAAACAGAAACCAGTCTGAATAAAACTACAATAGACCAGGTTTTTTAATATTTTTCATATCATAAGCAGGATTTGAAATTGATCCCTTCAGAACTTTACATGAAATAAAAACAATTTTTTCCGCTGCTGCAATGTTTTGATTTCAACACAGTTGAATCAGTAAAAACCAAAGATCGTTTTCTGATGCATGACTAATATCCACAATATTTAAAACTGCAAGCACCATGCTGTTCATTACAATCTTGTTATTACTGTTAATTTATAAACTAATACAAACTTAAAATGCATCCGGCCAGCAGTGCCAGCTATCCTAAAAGGAAACTAAAAAATAAGTTTTCATTTTGGTATTTTTGTCAGTGCAACGTAAATCCTTTTACTGACCTGCAGGAGGAAAAAAAAAAAAAGTAATAAAAACACCCATAAGACTCCAAACTACTACTACTATACAACTGCAAATAAATTTTGGCTAAAACTTTCACTCGCTGCATAGGGAAGCAGAGAAGCAGATTACAAATCATTGCAAAAGAATACACTTAAAAGTTGCAGTATGTCTTCTTAAAAAAAAAGTTTTAGATTTAAATGCTTTCCCAGCCCACTCATCAGCTGCTGCCATTGAGAAACCCAACTTCAGTGGCGACACGGAGCCCTCGCTGCTATCACAACTTGACTCGTAACGAGGAGGATTTGGGGTTGTTTTCTCTCTTTATTTACCGAAAATCTAGGGGCAGTTGTTTTGGGTTTTGGGGGTTTTTGTTTGTTTGTTTTAATGGAACTGGTATCTCGTCCGTCCTTCTCTTCCTGAGTGTACAATCAGAAGGGAAATTATCTGGCCAAGCCTAACCGCTCAGGCTGGGAATTGTCCTGGAGGAAAGAGCTTCGCTGCCACTTTAAGGCATGGAGTAGGTTCTAGTGAGCGAGGAGGGTTTTTCCCTGTTAAGTTTAGGTTTGTCAATGCCATTCAGGCATTTTTGCTTCTGCCCCAACAAACAAAAACCAAAATGAAAACTAACAAAAAAAAATACAACTTAAAAGTGCACCAGATATACAAAGTTGGTTTTTTTTCTAATGCAAAATGCCCATAACTTTTTTTTTTCTTTAAGTATCTCTTTAACACCAAACAAACCGTATAACCAGCCTGCTGAAATGTTATCTTGTTTTTTGTGTATTTTTCTCCTGTACGGTTTGAAGTAGCAGATATTTACAAGCTAACAACCATAAAAGAAAACAAGAGCAAAACCAACGAACAAAACTGCACAAGCAGTAAAAAGTTCGATAACTTGTGATGCTTTTCTTATTGATGAAACAAAACAACAACAGAAATCTATGATCGATGATCAACATGCTATAGTTAAACAAGAAAATGGTACAAAATAGAAATTATTACCATACATGTCCAGCATGCAGGATTAATATTTTTAATGCAGATTTTCGTATTTTTCTATATAATCAAGCAGGCAATAAAACTGATGAGTTTTTTTTTCTTTCTTTCATTCTTTCTTTTCTTAGATTGAATGTCCCATCTGAGTCCTGTAACTTATTTCTCAAAGCAGGCAATATATGAAGAGTTTGCATATATTGTCCTTTTTATTTATTCTCTTTTTCCAAGCAGGTAAATTGTGCATGAGATGGTGCTGTGTATGTCCTCTCTCTTTCCAAGCAGGCAGTATGTTATAGATGGCTTGTTCATTGTCCTTTTTTATTATTATTCTTTTAAAGTCCATCTCACTCTGCAAGCAAGTGATCTATAAAATGCTTCACTTGTCCTTTTCTCCTTTGCCTCTGTCTCTCTCTCTAACTTGTACACGAAAGTCAAAAAGTTGCACTTTACCTCTCCCATCCCCACCCCCAGCCTACTTTTCCCACAGCTACTCTAGAAGACTGGATGCTGAAAAAAAAAAAAAATCAAGTCTATTTTTCTCTCCTCCTTTCTCTCTAGTCAAGCAGACGGATGGATGGAGATGTCAGAGGAGGATGGGAGCGGGGGGGGAAGGTGACAGGGGTCAGGTTTGGGGGGTAGGGGATTTTTTGTTTGTTTTTTAATTATTTTTGTTAAGCACTCACATGAAGAACTCAGGGGAAGACGGGTTGTCACTGGTGGAGCCGGCCTCTCTGAAGCCGTTGCTGGCAAGTTTCTCACACTTGAGCTTGTAGGCGTCTCTCTCTCTGGCGAGCCGGGTCACTTCTTGCTTGAGCTGTTCCACCTGCTGAATGAGCTGCGTCTTTTCGTTCTCCAGGTGGTGTTTCTGCTGGACACGTTTGTACCTGCAGGACTGGGCATAGCCCCTGTTCTTCAAGGTCCTCCTCTTCTGCTTGAGGCGGATCACCTCATCTTTGGTGAAGCCTCGGAGGTGCCTGTTGAGCTCCCTCACAGACATGGAGACCAGCTGGTCATCTGAGAACCGGTCCTCCACGCTGCTGGAGGGGGGATGCTGCTGGTGCGAGTTCTGGAGCTGCTGGGAGGAGCTGGAGGAGGTGGAGGGAGTGGGAGAGGCCTGGTGGTGATGATGGTGGTGATGGTGAGGGTGCCCGCTGCCGGCCAGGTCTTCGTGAGTGACTGCGGGGTACTGGTGGTGGTGTTGGTGATGGTGATGATGATGGTGGTGGTGGGCCCGGAAGCCCTCGAAGCCCTGCAGCTGCTGGGACACCTGGTGGGACCCAATGAGGGCTTCGACAGCGTCCTCTGGGGTGAGGTTCAGCGTCTCGGGGTTCATCTGCTGGTAGCTGTTGGCCATCCAGTACAGGTCCTCCAAGTGGGTCTTCTGCTCGGTGGGGCTGAAGCTGGGCGAGGAGGGCACGGAGCTGCAGGGGGTGCTGATGGGGGTGGAGGAGACGGAGCCTGCCGGCTGCAGGCGGGTGCAGTGCCTGCCCGAGCGGTCGCTCCTGCCCAGGGGCTCCTTCTTCACGTCGAACTTCATCAAGTCGAAGTCGTTCACGTACTCCATGGCCAGCGGGCTGGTGGGCAGCTCGGCTCCGATGCTGAGCTCTCCGGCCATCGCTGTCTTGCGGGCACCTCTCCCGGCGGAGGGGGCTGGAGACTTCACCCCAGCGCGCAGTCTGGCAGAGTCTGGCCGCGCTCTCCTATTCCAAACCAACTTTGGCTTTCAGCTCTCGCCTCCTTTCCTCTGCTCCCCCTCCTCCGCCGCCTCCTTCTCCCGGCTTCTGGGGCTTCTTCAGTCCGGAGCAACAAAGCCAAGGACGAGCCGGCCCCCGGGGCCGCCTGGCTGGCTCCTGGCTGTCGGTATCAGCGATCGCCCCGCACCGCGGGCTGCGGCAGCTCCCGGCTCCGAGGCGCCCGGCCGCAAGGAGGAAGGAGCGGTAGCAGGAAGGGCAAAAGCAAAACAAAACAAAGATGCTGCCTTCAGCTCTGTGCAGGAAGAAGAAGGTCGGTGCGAACGCCCAGCCCGTGCCCCCGGCCGGGTTTTGTAAGTCCGGAGCCCCCTCCCCGCGGCAGCCGAGCCCGGAGCCTGCCGCAACTTTCCAGCCCGAGCGAGCGCCGGGGCAGCGCACGGGCTACCGGCGGCGGCGGGGCTCTGCACGGGAGTTTCGGTGGCTCTGGCAGCGCAGGCGAAGGGGAGGGAAAAGGGGGAGGAAGGAGGGGAAGGAGGAGGAAAAAAAAAAAAAAAAAAGGAGGAGAAGGGGAACGAGCGCAGCCCGGGTCTCTGCTGTAGCTGCCGCCGCCAGCGCTCGTTGTGCAGCTGTGATCACAGTGCAGCCCCCCTTGGCTTCTTATACGGCCGTGCCCGCCGAGAGCGCGGCGGGGGCCGGGGCCGGCGGCGGCCGCGCCAATGGCAGCGCGGCGGCGGGGCCGGGCGGGGCCGGGCCGCGCCGTGACAGCTCCGCAGCGCCAGCTGAGCGCCCGCCGCTCCCAGCCCGCACCTCCGGGCTCTCCCCGGCTCCCCCTCCACCACCCGCGTCTTCCCAGTTATTTATTTATTTATTTAGCTGTTTGTATATTTATTTATTTATTTATTTATTTCTCTCTGCTCCCTTCCTCCCATCCTTTTCGGCCTCTGCAGCCCTCAAAGGAGGGGGAATCGGGGGCATCCTGTCCGTCCCTTTGTTCTAAATATAACAAAGTGCCTCTTTTTGCCCGCTGCCATCCCGTAGTGGATCTCAAGGCAGGGAGCTTCCCCCAATGCCGCGCACACGCACCCACCCTTCCAACTCTATGTAAGCGGCCCCGGTGCGAACGTAGCGAGGGAAAAGCGGCTGCGAACGCGCCGCGGGTCCGGCCGGGAGCGAGTGCTGGGCTGCGGGAGGCGCCGAGGGGGATGAGCGGGGAGCCGGCAGCGAGGGAAGCACCGGCTCGACAGGGCTGTCAGCGCTTCGTGGACAACCGGGGAAACCCTCCCGGTTACAGGAAGCAAATCTCTCCCTAAAGTAAAGCAAAGGCATTGACACAGACAATTGCAAATATTAGGGAGAGAAGGAAGAAAATATAATTACATTTCGGTTCTGAGGGGACCGTGTTTGCTTTCCTCTGCTGTTCCCTGAGACAGTGACTGCATGTAAAGGAGTATTCGGTTTGTAAGATTTTTTCTGTTTGGTTTTTTTGGGGGGTTTTTTTTTTTGGTTTTTTTTTTGGTTTTTTTTTTTTGGTCCGGTAACAGGATTTTTTTTTTTAACATTTTGTAACGATTAAGGCAGATTAGGCTTCTTTTTACACCGCTCTCATGCTCAAACAGACAGAAAGTGCGACCCCAAGTGTCATTTTTTAGAATAACAGCGCATTTCACGGGGAGAAAACAGCCGGAAAAAGGGGACGGGCGAGCGGGACCGGAGCGATGCGGGAGCGAGACCGCCTCGGTCCCGGCCTGGCCACGCCGCTCCGGAGCTGCGCCTCCACCTCTGCCCCTCAGAGCCCCCTGCACCACCCTCCCACTCCCCTATTTATTTACCCAAAAGAACAAAAAAGTTCAGGATCTGTCTGCTTTCCCGAAAATTATGAGGAGGGAACTGCCTTTCTGGAGCCGGGACAACAGTGAGGAGTCCCCAGCGGAGACCTCCCGGTGTGGGTCGGTCCCTGCGGGACCCCCGCCAGCCCGGACCCGCTGGTCCCGCTCCTCCGCATCTCCGCGGAGCCGGCCGCAGCAGCGCAGGGAACCAGGGAGGCAAAAGTGGCTCAAAGTCCTCCCTCTACCCAAAAAGAAATTCCAGGGGGTCCCTCTGGCAGCCGGTTGGAGGAAAGAGGAGGAAAACAGGCAGGGAGATTTCAGCCAAATCCTCTTTCGCAGTTCAGGCGTGCCGGGGTTTGACTTCGTGTGGCAATGCCTTGTGTGCGTGTTTCCCCACGACATTTGGAGGGGACAGAACTCTCGCTCGATAGTCCCGGAGAGCGGCGGCTCCGGCGCTGCCCAGCTGCGCTCCCGGGAGTGAGCGATGCCTCCGCATCCCGATCCCGCCCGAAGCGGGGCTGCGCTCCCGGCAGCACGCAGACCTCTCCCCGCAGGTCGCGCTGCTCCGAACGCGTGTGCGGGAGGACACGAGTGGAACGTACCCACGGGGCCGGGGCGCTCCCCTTGCCGCGCATCCTCCGCGGGCAGCGCAGCCCCGGCGGTGCGGGGCGCGCCGGGCTCCGCACGACCACCGAGCTGCTGCCTTCCCATCAGTGCCAGTTTGGGAAATTGCCGTCTTTTCGCTGTTAACGAGCGGCCCCGGGGCGCAGCGAGGCGGGGAGCCCCGCGGTGCCCCTCGGCGGAGGGGACCGGCCAGCGGGGCAGGGCGGAGCGGGCAGGGAGCTCGGCCGTCCCCGTCCGGCCGCTGCCGCCTCCCCGGGGGCTTGGGGCTGCCGAGAGTCCCCCTGCGGGTCCTCTGGACTTGTGATTTCTGAGGTCCTGAAAGCTGCTTGGGGAGAGCTTTATTTTTACCTGCACGTTAAACGTTATCGTTGCCATTGAGAGAGAGAAAGGGGACATTGGCGAGAGCTTGGGAAGCCTGGATGCAGCCCTGCAAAATGTGCCATTAGATGGATAATACTTTTTCCTCTCATAATTACTGAGGTATATTCACAAGGTGGAGCTACTGAAAGGCGGAGGGAAGCATTTATCTCCCTGTCCATACACAGTCTGTCCCTTTCCTTAATCTTTTAAGCTGTGAACTAGAGATCGGTTTTCAGCGTCGGTCCTCGCAGTCATAAAATTTCGGGGCACTTCCTGGGTCCGTTTCTTTGCTCTTCCATGCGTCGCTCCCCTTTCAAAAATACATCCCACAAAACTTGCGGCGTTAAGCAGCTGACTAAAGTCAGAACCGCTTCGTACCCCGAATCCCCAGCTGTTCATTGTAGTTTTTATTTCAGCCACCAAAGGTTATTCTCGATAGGATTTATATGTTAGGGGCGTTGTTCCTGCGTGAATTTTTTATATTTATACATATTTTATTTTTAACAGGGATTGGGGAAGAAATAGTGTTGCTGGAGAAGGATTTCTGGGCTGAACAGCCCAACGAGGCAGCTCAGAAGTGTTTCCCATCCGCGTGGCCGCGGTTCTGCGCTCAAGGGGAGGGAGGGACCCCGGCCCCCGCACCCTAAAAAGCACCGCGGGGCAAAGCAGCGGCTGCCGGATCCTTCGGGAAGGATTCCCCGTCTCCTCCGCACGAAGAGGCGCCCACCTGCCCGGCCCCGCAGCTCGCCTCCCCGCCGAGCATTCCGGGCAATTTTTTTTTTTTTTTAATTGCTACCTTCTTCCCGCATCCGAAAACCGCTAATCGAGCTGCTTTAATTTTTTCTTGCTTTCTATATTTTAATATCCGGTTTTTCAAGGTTCGTTTCGAGGAAAAAATTACTTCTTCCCGCTCTCCCTTCACTTCCCCCTGCCTTCCGCAAACTCCCGGCCAAAATCGGGACGAGTTCAGAGAAAATGATTAATGTCATTTCTGATCAGATCCGGCGGCACGTCCGCCCAGGGCAGGGCAGTAAGGGTCCTGGAGCCATTGAAATTTGAAATCTCCCTCAAAACTGCAACATACAACGCGTGTTTGTTCAGGTAGGGCTCTGCCTAAATCGGGTCAGTGGAAGGGAATTGTATTACGTTGGCATCCCCCTCCCCGGTTCTTAGAAGCAGCAGGTATATGTAGTCAGATGAAAATTAAGACGACTGTTGTGTATGTAATTTCCATGCTCGGTTCTCTGAGAAGCGCTCCTCTGTTTTGGTAGCTCATTGCTACTTTTGCCCCAGAATTGGCTTTTTTATCCCGTAACATCAGCGGGATATGTTGACTGGAATGGGAGATTTGTTAAAAAACAGACCCAAACCTAAATTACCCGTGGCTGGCAGCCGGCACGGGTGGAGGAAAAGAGCATCACTTTCCTAATTCCTACCTCCCCTCGCTTGATTTTTAATTTCCCAAACCGCAGGCAGACACGGTGCTGGCTGTCAGGATTTTTTTTCCCCTGTGTAAGCAGCGAGGGACCTGGTTAATCATCTATCGCAGATACATGTGCATGAGAAAGAAAAGTGTTGATATTTGTTTGTTGGGGCTGATGGGAATGGCCCACGAATTTAGGATTAAATTACTACTGGTAATCATAAGGCTTTGTTTCCCTCTCGCTCTCCCTTTTCTGCGGGGATTGTCAAAGTAAAGCGGGCAGCATTATTTGGACAAAGTCTGGAGAGCGGCTTTGCTGTATAAAACAAGCGAATGAACCCTCCTGGTTTAACTGGGACCGCTGCAGATTTTAGCCCGAACCGGTCAAGAGCGGGGCACATCCCAGTACTAACTCTAGACACGTTTTCACAGGTGGATCTGGGAGAAGGGAGCAGACCAACACTTCAGAAGGGTAGGTTTTTAGGGGGTAATTTTTCTTTCCCGAGGTTTTACAGTGTCCAGCGTTAAACCCGCGCTGAGCAGGGAGGCTCAGGGCGTGCGGGAGGCGGCTTTGGGGTTCGCTCGCTCTCGGGGGTCGTGAGCGCTCCCGGGCGGGTGTTGCTGTACGGGACAGGGGGGTTGGAGGTGATGAACGCCCCACGACGAAGGCGGCCCGTGAGCGGGGCTGTGTCGCTGCCCGGCGGGTCCCCCGAGCGGTGCCCGGCCCTGGCAGACAAACACAGACACCCCAAAGGCTGCGGCGCGGCTCGGGGGCACTGATGAGGACGGAGGGGGAGCTGATGGGGGATCCCGGTGGGCACCGCGCCAGCGCTCGTTGGGGTGATGCCCAGGCGAGGCTTCCGTCCCGGCGAGGTTCGGGGGATGCTGGAGCCGGGCAATAGGGATTATTTTCTTTTTGGAGGGGAGAACGGTCCCACGGTGCCCCCCGCTGCTCGGGGTTAGCCCGGGACACGGCGCGGCCCGGGGGGAATGCAGGGGGTGGCTGCTGCTGCTGCTGTGCCTGAGCCCTGCCTTCGTGTGCAGGGAAAGAAGGACAAGCCCTCCGTGGCACCCTCTGCAGTTGGCTCAGGGTCTCGCTGCACTCCAGGGTTGGGAGGGGGGGTGAGAAAGAGGGTGACTTCCAAACCAAATGGCATCACTTCACCCTCCCCTACAAGGGTGCCTTCGGCAGGGAGGCAAGCAGAGAGCAGAAACATTCTCCTTCTCGTTATTTCTTTCAGCTTTAACCCCATCACACCCCATTCATTGGACATAATGAATGCATTGGTCCAAACTAGTTTTCAAGAGAATTTG